AAACAGAATAATTTAGTGAGTGAACGTCTAAGAACGAATTCAAATTATCAAAAGTTTAGAAAAATCAAATGTTTTCTTTGTCAAGATATTTTACATTAGCTCTTCCTCAGTCTGTTTTTGCATTTAGCTCATATGCAATATAAACACAGATTTTACAATTAACTTAACACATACACTCCTTTCACTAGAAACACAACCGTATTTACTGGGATTGGTTGTTTAACTCACAAGTTAAATTTCTGTCATCGTATCTGAATGTGTGTGTGTTGTGCTCCTACTCATGCGCATCGTCCTGACAAAAGCTGCTTTTATTGTATCAGTCTGGCTTTATAAGAGGGGCGTCACGGGGTCACATCATAACTACATTAGTCAAGGTTCAACAGGGCTGAAGAGCACATTTGGAGGGGTGGGGGTGGGAGCAGGACGAGGTCCCAGTGGGTTAAATGTGTAGATGGAGGAGCGGGGAGGGGTGGGGGAGGTTGGAATTAGTCCATTCATGCCTGACTGGACCTTGGGCATGCTAACAGGCTACAGTGATAATCTAGTTATGAGTGGAAGCCATGCAGACGGGTGAGAGCTGGGTGTTGGGTGAAGGTTATGTGGGGGAGTCGAGGTCTGGAGTTGTGGGATTTCAGCTGGGTGGCAGGTGGTCAAAGCTGAATAACAGAGTAGAAGAGCAGTGGCTGGGTGGAGAGGAGGCAGATGATGGGGCATGGGGTGAAAGTGGGCACATGACGAGTGATGGTAAAGGGCAGCTGTGAGTCCACAAAGGGGGTGGGGGGGGGGTCTTTCTCTGTGGTCAACAGATGGACAGAGGAGAACGAAAGAATGACTCTGATCTGTCGACCTTCTTATTAAATCACACCCAGGCCCGTCGCACCACTTATCTCGTACTTTATCTTTCATTTAAGCTCCTCATATTGAAGCGCCGGCCAATCCAAAGCACAGGAAAGAAGAAGCAAGATGTGCACAGAGGGACAGTGCTGCTCCAGATTACTTTGATTAAAATGAATCAATGAAGTGCAGAATATATTTCCTCAATGGAAATACGGCATTGCTACCCCTTCAATATTTTGTTTCATTACAGCCACAAACTTTAATGCATTCTCTTTAATTGGGATTATGACTATTCAGAACAAAAATCAAAATATCTCAAATTTACTTTACGACTAGTCATAATTTCATTGTTGAAATATGTTTCAGACAGTAAGTTATTGCAGATATCTTGAATTAGAGCCTCTGTAGAACTTAATGTTAAACCTGACATCATTTATACCAGTCAGCGATATCTCAAACAGTTATTTATAGCCCTGTGATGGACTTGCAAGCTGTCCAGGATGTACCCCGCACCTCGCACAGTGACCCCCGTAACCCTGAAAGGAAGAAGTGGGTATAGATGATGGATGGATGGTATTTATATAAAATACATAGCTATTTTGCTTAGTCAAAATATAATTAGAGATATCTTAATATGTCTAGTCGTAAACCTATTTCAGATATCTGAAATGATGTGAGGGTAGTTGATTTTTTGTCAAAACAACCTGCCATATAAGCCTGTCTGCAGCGTTTGCTTCACTTTGCTCGACAGCTGCTGATGGGGAGATGTTGATATTTTAGAAAGAGGAGTTAAACCTTTTAGGGGGCTTCGTTTTCATACACTCCGAATGTTCTATCGAGTGGAACTTTATCAGGCAGTGGAATAGATCTGATGTGTTCCCGATGCAACTCTGGCACATTTTACAGTGGACTGAAAGGAGAAGTTTATCAGACTTTTGATACCTGAACCACCTCCACACCACTGAATTACGGTAGTCTTTTCCATCTTAACTTTATTCTGTTTCCTTTTTAACTGTGGATGCTTGTTCACTCAGTTTTGGCCCTGATATCCACTGTATTGTATTAGCTTGTTGTTAGCATAGTGCTGCCTGCCCAAAATCTGTGTGATAAACCAACACAAAGTAGTGCATATTGTGTAGTAGAAGGACAATTACATAAGTCGCCTTTTTTTTATAAAAATCTGAAAAGTGCTGCGTACAGTTGTTTTCATCCCTGTTTCCCCTGATATCCCAAAAAGAACCAGTGGAACATTTTTCATGTAACTATTTAGTAAATAGAGTCCACCTGTGTGTAGTTCAATCTGTTTAAAACCTCACAGGTTTGTTACAGAACATTAGTGAGCAGGCAGCATTATGAAGACCAAGGAACACAGCAGACAGGTCAGGGATAGAGTTGTTGAGACATTCAAAGCAGAGTTGTTATAAAACAATATCTCAAAGATTTTTTTGGACAGACTAAAAACTGAGCATAATAGCTATATAAAAACAATGTTCTAGTTCCAACAGTCTTTGCCAAATCAGCAGGATTATGGTTAAGGCATGACGGATCCAAAAACTAAGCAACATTTGATTACATTTGTTTGAGTATTATAAATGTTCAACTGCTGAATCACTTTTAAAACTACTTATTAAAAATGTGAATTAAATAAATAAATCTAGGAGAACAGAATGGAGGGAAAATGACAGGAGAAACGAGTTGTGGTTGAAGATTAAAAAAAGAAAAGGGCAACAGATAAATGATGTAAAGCAGCAGAATGAAAGTTGTTTCCTGCAGCCTTTACTTTCTCCACATTTTGCCAACCACACATCTCTGAAATCAGATTTTAGAACTCCACATCCTCCTGCTGACACACACTTTTACTCAGCTGTGAGAAAAATTAGAGCCTTCTGAAGTTATTTCAAAAAGTACTGCAATGCTAAAGTTTGTTAAAACGTCTGAACACTGGCAGAATATTTGTTATTTTGTAGGTTTGCAGAGGTTATGAAAGAAGGTGAGCGACTATATTCTTTGTTTTCATTTATGACGAATCCACAAACGGTAACCAAAATTATGGGTGGGAAAGGTGAAGAATCCACCCTCTTTTGCCACAGTGTGGGCCCTTGAGCAAGGCCCTGCTGCTCCCACAGGCGCCTTAGATGGCAGCCCTTTAGGTAGCTATCAGTGGTTGTGTCAGGCAGGGCATGCAGTGTTAAAAACAATTGCCAAATCTTCATGAGAGTTTGCTCAAAGTAGTAACCTCTGAAGACAGGAGCAGCCGAAAGAAAAAGAATTAAAAGCACAAGTCTTTCTAAACATCCAGCCAATGCAGAATGTTTTTCTTTTTTTAGATTAAAAAACAAAAACTTAAACAGAAAAAAAGGGCTTGATTGTTAAAAAATAAATGCGTTAACTGAAATAAATGAAACCAAAATCAACCGACACAGCTTATAACTCAGGACATTTAATACAAAGCAATAAAAATTGTCTTTTTCCACCGACTTGACTTGGCCCTACTCGGATTGACTTGGCATGCCTTTAGAGTCTTTCCACTTCCAGCTCAGTTTGTAGAATCTACTTGACTGTAGTTCCAAGAGAGTTGACTCTAGCTAAAAGGTTTGACTTCAGACAGCAGATTATTGATTGGCCCGAGAGCGTTGTCAATCATGAGTGCGTCTCCTTCACAAGTATCAAAACCACCTTTTTTAAAATCTTACAACTGCAGCATTTTATTTTTTCAAATTTATAATACAGGTTTATTCAAAAGCCTCAGGACACTGTATTATTTCAGGAAGAAAGGCTGAAATAACATAAGCAAATACCCCAGAAGGTAATGGGTGAGGGGGCCAAACTTTTAGGCTATGTCCAGAACATGGCTGTCATCTCAAAAGCCGCTATCAAGGCCACTATCAAGTTTTCCAAAGATAGGTCCCCTCACCCATTACCATGTACATGTGTCATTCTCCCTTTTGTCCTGTGATTTCTGACTCACTCTGTACATTCAATAAAAGGCAGCATGTAAACCAACATGGTGGTGTTGAGGATGAGGAGACACTTCTGCTTGTTGGGTGACAACAGAATTCAGATGGAACTCCAGCAAACAGACTCAGTTTCCCTCCAACCAGCAGAGGGGAGGTGGCTTTGACTCAACCACAGTGTTTTTGGTAGCAGTGGCAGAGACGGTGGTACTTTCTTTACTTATTCCTGTGCTGTGTTTGCATTGGATAAAAAAAGAGGGTAATATGATTAAGAACATAGGAGCACCAACTATGAGGCGCCACTCAGGTTATATAAAACAAAAAACACCAAAATCTTGTAGATCTAATTGAGTTGTGGTGAGACTGGACAAAGAAAAAAATGTCTAAAGTGATGGCTGAATGTGATGCAATTCTTAGTCAATTAACACAACACAAAGACCAACCAGTTACCATACATGAACTTAGAATTAGGAAGTGTATTACATTTTTATAAAGCTACATTTGAGCTCCACTAAGTGGATCATAGAGTTTATAGAACTCCAACCTAAAAATGAACAAGTGAGTTCAAACCAAAACTATGACCTTAAATGCTCCTGGGAGTCATTCGTCATGTAGATATCAACAACTGTTGCACAAGAAGACGTGTATTCAATTAAAAAAAGACTTTTTCTGGTAATTACTGCTCAATACAAAAAATGTTTTTACATTATTGGTGCACAGATGGAAGACAAGAAGAGAATAAAACAAACAAGACAGAAAAAATTGTGAGAAAGTTAGTGGCTCTGTGTTGAACGTGTAAACAGACTCTTTCCAATTAAATCTCAGTCAAAACTTCTTTGCTCCTCACCAATTAGTCTATACATAAATACAAAAATAAACCCTGTTCTGCCGCTGCTTCGCAGCCTCAGCAACGAGTGAAAATAGGAGCAAACTAAATTTGAATAAAAAGTTGACGATGGGAGAGAACGCTGCGTCAACAGTTCCGTCTGTTCTCACGTAAATTTCTCTTTAACACGGTTCGGCTGCCATCTGTTTCATCCAGGCGCAGAGACGTACACCTACACGTCAACGCACTGCTGCTTCACCCTGATACTGTTTCTCACATTTATACAACACGTGAACGTGATAATTGAGTTTGACTTTTAAAAAAGTAAATATCTGTGTTCTTCAACACACGAGCTGATTTGACGTAAGAAGAAGGTGACCAACTTGTTTTGAGGACGGCCTCGCTGACTTCGATCTCTCCTCGGTTGGGATCTTCATACTCCAGGTGGGGGAAGTAGTGCATGGGTTCTGGACTCGCGTTTGTGCTGGAGAAGCCGTTGGACATGCTCTCTGAGGGAGTTTCTGAATCACCGCGCTGGTCGTCGTCAAACACAGCGACCAACTAGAAAACAAAAAAGACAAAGTTAAAAGAAATGTACTTGGAATAAGCATAAACGATGAGCTCTTTGGCATTAAAACAAGCTGAAACAGATTAACCAGAATTGCTGCTGTGCCATGACCACAGCGAGGATTTTGGGCCATTTATCCTGCCAGCAGTGGAAAAGCAAACTGCCTGATTTGGCCAAATGTGCAGATGTGACTGTGTGAAACAAAACAGGAGGCTCACTCCCCTTCATGAACTTTTATTGTGATCCTGCAGACAGACAGTTCAGGGAACTTACAGTTCTGCGCCAACATGTGTCGAGGTGTGCATGTATGAAACCAGCCGTCAAATGAGATCTGACAAGAGAATGAGAAGCTGTCAAACACAATGACATGGCCGCCGCGGTGAGGACGACGGGACGAGAAGGGGGCAGCCCCAGATGAACGGGGGACGAAGGGGGTGAGGATGACCAACAGTTCTAATTGAGGAGGGGGACGTGACGGCAGATTGTGTGTGTGCAAGCCATGGCGTTTGCAGCTACGTGGTCTGATGAATGTGCGCGTGGCGGTGTGACGCTCATTAAAACGAGGCTGGAGATGGAAATGACCGCTTAATGAAAAGCAATAACCACCGTGGAACAAGGGGTGAAAACGAAACAAACAGATGAGCCGGAGACGTCAATTAGCAACACGGAAGCTGTGTGTGTTTTTTTAAACGAGAAGCATGGAGGAGGCGGAGACATCTGCACCATCTATCAGGCCTCCCGCCTAAACCTCCCGTGATTCAATATCCTCCTGATACCCGACCGGCACCACGCGGAGCAGATTTGTCAACTGTGTTCACCTGAACGTGTGCATTAGCATCCGAGGAGATGGAAAGAAGTGAGAAAGAAAGGAACGCCAAGAAAAAGACAATCTGATTGTGCCGTTTGATGGATGCTTCTCGAGCTTTCTCTCCTCTTTATCTTCCTCTTTCTCTCCTTATCGCTTCTCCCTCCCAAGCCGCCGTCTTCCCCCTTCTCCAAACTCACTGACGGCATCAATCAAAGACGTCGGCCCGCGGAGCATGCACCAACACACAGCTCTGAGCTTGCCTCAAAAAAAAATAAAAATAAAAAAACTATTAGGGTGTTTTGAAATTCTTTCCATGTGTGGAGTGGAAATGATCACCATTTTTTTTTAATGACTGATGCTAGCAGAGATGCTAATGAAGGCCACCCTGCTGCTTCTACTCATCACTCACTCAAACACCAAGTATCAACAAAATGAGTCATGAGCCGCTTCTGTTTGGAAGCTAAACAACATGGACCAATTGATGCACTGTATTTGAGCTATTATAGGCCAAAGAAAGAATAAAAATCTATGTTTTGTTTGAATTGTGTGTGTATGCATGGCCATAAATGGTCAAATTTGACAACATACGTGTAATGTTATCAAATACGTGTATGACAACATACAAGTATAACCATATATTTATTTATATTGCTAGGACTCTGAGAATGTATTCTGCCTTTGGTGAACTATTTTGTAAATACTGATGTTGCGCTTGTTCATTTTCCTGGTAGTGTGGTGCAACTTTTGTAGACTGACCTTGCACTTGCTCTGGTGACCGTCAAAAAGAGAACTGGTCAAATTATGGTGAATGGCTGTGCGTACACCACTGCCCTGCCTATGTAATGTAAATGCTCTTATTGACTATAAAAGGGTATTTTTTACTGCAAAGGCCTTGTCATGTAAGAGCTTTACCTCTGATAATCTCAGTCCTAATTTTCTCCATCCTTGTCACTCCCAAAGAGAACCTCAACATCTTCAAATCTAACACTTCCTGCTCCGTTTCCTTGTCTTTTTGTTAAAGGCAGGAGAACCTTTTTGGATGGTCACTAAGGCACCTAAAAATTTGACAGTAATTTACAAACCGACTTATGGCATCATGGTGTCTACATCTAGTTCCAGTTGGAAGTGCTTGGTCATACAGTACATGTCAACCCCTTTGGATGTTTATCTGTATAATGAGCATCAAAAATCTGTAATTTTCACAAAAAAAAAATCTGTATTAATCAGACTGCATGTGCATGTGCGGGTGCCTATTTCTAGAACTCATTTCTAGCAACAGATTGGAAGATGTTATTTGATGTTATTTATTGTTTTTTTTAACGTCCTACAGGTTCTGACATGTTAAAAAGTGTGTGAATGTGTGTGTGCATGGGTAAATGTCTGAAGTGTAAAGCACCTTGGGGTCCAAGTGGACTTGATAAGGCACTATATAAGTTCAAGCCATTTACCATTTAAATAAATTTGAAACAGGGTTTTTGTAAAAAATTTAAAAAATTAAAAATAAATAAAAAAACAGTAAAGCTTCAAAAAATACATGAGATTGCTCTATATGCATGTATACCTGCAAAATGATGGAAAATCCATGTAAATTATGGACAATCCATACAACTTGACATGTATGTTAAGTCAAGATTGTCAAACTCAACATTTTAAAAAAATGGGATAACAGCACTCCAAAAAATTCTGTTTTAATAAGGTCCTTCAGAACCAGGCACCCATTTACTCTCTTTCCCTTTTTATAAGGAAATTTCAGTTGTGCGCGCAAAAAATTTTTTTTTATTGAAAATTTTTTTCTTATTAAACTCAACATCTTAACCTAAACCATTGCACTTAAAACCTCAAAATGTTATTTCATCAAGCAACACAGTTTGGATTTTGATTTCACAAATTTAGAGGCATCGTCCATCAACTCAATATTTAAATAAAGGTACTATGTTTACTTCATGAGTTCACTAGTAGAACCACAATGACTAGTCTCCAATTCATTTTTAGTAGACTTTACCAGCTTTTTGCTTGGTCACCTAAAGTAATATTAGTATTTAAATAAATGGCAATTTGAAGTTCAGCCTTTAAACATGCCTCCAGCTCACTCTTTATGAGGAATGTCAGCTCCCATCGTGGTTATGGTTACTTTACTCACTGTTCATTCATCGCTGTGATTAGTATTCTCGGAAACAGATTGCCTAATTTCTCAGACTGTGTCCGCGGGGAGAAACCGATATGAACCTGGGAGGCAGCATGTCAATGCTGCTGAATAATGCGACCCCTTTGTCTCGTTTTTATGAACACGCACAAACACACATCAATATCCCAGTCCAAATACTGAACCCTACCTCTTTTTACCCCCGTGATATGAACTTCTATCAGTCACAACGCAGCGTGTTTCCTGCTGCTGTGAAGACAGAGTGTGTGTTGTTTAACCACAAAACACATGAAAGAAACATTCAATACCATGTGTGAAGCGTGGATAGAGAGGAACAATTTGTGCATTCTTGCCTCCAGGCACAGAATTACAGAAGGTTGAATTATAGGTAGAGTACTACAAGAAAAACACACAAATTTTCAAAATAAAAGCAAAGCAGGTTAATTTAACCACTTGCAATATTTTATGGGGCTGAAATGCACATTATTGGGATCCTGTTTCTCATTATTTGTATTTCTTACTTCTTCCACAGTTTGTTGCCACAGTGCTTCATGCTACATGATTTTGCAGCCATTCAAACTTCGAATTGTTCAACTTACTTAGGAGCTGATGGCTATGACCTTTGGTTCTAGTGCCACTTGTGGGTTTTGAAAAATAAACAGATTATGTTTTAACTCCAATGAAACATGTTTCCATTACTCAAACCCTCACACCACACCTGTTTAACCAGTATTAGTAAATAGGGATGCACTGACATGAAAATTTCAGCCGATATCGATATCCGATATAATTATTGCCGTTATGGTCAATAACCGATATTTACCGATATTATACAAACACACAAATTATATTATACACATACACACAAACACACTTGGGTCTTTTTTGATTCCGTAAACAAACAACCAGACATCTGACATGGCTCCCTATTTCAGTTATTTAAGGTTACGCAGCATCAATATCACTATTATGATCAAACAGATGCCGCTCAACCAACCATCTCCCCTCCCAAAACAGAAACACAAAGATAAAAAGTGGGAAATCAATATTGGACATTAATATCGGCTCAGTTTTACATATCTGACCGATATCGATATTCTAAAAAATTGCCAATATCGGCCGATACCGATATCAGTACCGATATATCGTGCATCCCTACTAGTAAAGCTAGTAATTTAGTACAAGTTTAGTCTTAGTACTACTCGCAATAGTATTACTACTTGTACCAAGCTACTACTCAACTTATAATACTAATACTACTAGTAATACAATAAAAAAACATATTGCATTCATGCACATTGATTTTTTTCACAAAATAAACACTTTCTAATTTTATTTGCATTCAGATTTAATAAATTCTAAGAAAAGATTTTCAAAACAAAAGTGCTGTCTTGTAAGATTTGTCATCAAACTACAAACTGAATTTTGACATTCAAAGTTTTTATTTATTTTGTTTGAAAAGAATCTTTTAGGTTTATTTAACTCACCCAAATATTAAGTAATAACACAATAAGTTATTTTAATTCACAATAAAATGTATGACATACAGTATGTCATGGTGTAAGTCTTCAATAAGAACTGTCATGGTAGAGTAAGATTTTTTAATCATCTTGTTTTTCATGCTACTTCACAATAAAATAAAAAAAAAATAAACTATAAAAAGTTGTAAAATGTCACACATGCATTTCTTCCAAAGGTTTGAGATGTTTAAACCTGTACTGATATTTATCCATCCGTTTATTTCAGAACTGGTTTTCAGGAACAAAAGTTCACCAGAATTATTCAAACAGTGATGTTTCTGCTAGAAATCATTTTCTTGAAACTTACATGGAAAAGAAAGAAGTAGTTATGGCAAGTTTTACAGCAAAACTATTATACACTTGTATTTAAAATAGAGTAAAAACAAGTCCATAAAAGACTGTAAATGTCATCTGAAGCTGAGTGTCCAACACCAGATATAACAACAAAATACAATCAGCTGCAGTTCCTGTGGCAACAAGACAAAAACTAAAAGGTTACTTCATCCTGTTGTCATACAAACT